CTCGTGGAGATGCTACATCAGTGTCAAAATTTAAAGTAGTTGGAATTGTTTTGAAAAACTGCTGTTAATAACAGAAATCATCTTGAAAATTACACTATAAAGCCCAGTTACATTTGGACGATTTCTCTATCATCTTTTCAAAAGTATAAAAATAAAATATATTCCGGTTACTGCGTAAAAAATAATATGGCATTGACGTTGTGTATAGTAAATAGTTATTTTAGAGTTATATAAACATTACATATATTTTAAAATGTCTTACAGCTAGTAGTCACAACTATTTCGACAGATTTAGCGGTAATGAAGCAGCTGTTGGATTCGTCCGCCAAAACACGGGAGAAGTAATTATACTTTTACAATTTTTCATTTTACAAATTTTTAACGTTTTAATACAACAAATTTAATTGATTTATGCATAGATTCATTGTGGTAGTGGCGTTTTTACACCCAAATTACACTACGACAACGCTGTGAATAAGGCTACGGGAAAAAAATCAGAAGCATCGATGTTTGTAAAGACAATAGTTGTGAGTATTATAGGCATTGATGAACTTAAAAGATGTAGTGTCAGTGGCACTGGATGTAGACGAACCAAAACGGTTGCAAAACCAGCGTTGGACAGTACGCGATTAAAGGCTGTAAAAGGTAAACTAATGCACATTTTTTTTTATGCATAGAAAAAGGTCATATGATTTGTGCTTCTAAAATTTAAATGTTTTTTGCAGAAATTTTTGAGTATTATCTTACAGAAGAAAAAAAATTAGATGAGGTTAAAGTACACGAAGAACTAAAATACTTTGCAAAGTATATTTCTGAAAAAATGTGGGACTTAAGCAGACCACCAAAAAAGTGTTGAACAAATACAACTGAAAAAAAAAAAAACTATAGTGAAAACAAACCAAAAACTTGATAAGAATAAAATGGAAACGGATAATGTTGAAGGTCATTGTTCAAATAAGGTTAGTTCTGATGACGACAGTGAAGATGGTGATGTTGATAATCAGTCCACATCAGGAAGCAATTCTGATACAACAGAGTCTAGTGAAGAAGAAAACTAGTCGTTTCAAATTTTCTTATCTTATTTATTATAATCATAATTATTAAGTCTCTGAGCTAGTCTCATATAAAATTAAATATCTTATTTTTTACTTAACTTAGTAACTTCAGCAACCTATTCAGTTTTGTATAAAAAGAAAATACTGTGATGATAAAATAGAGTAACAACAATCTTGATATATGTCTTTATTAGTGATATTTCCAAAATATTTATTAATATTGTTAGAGATTTAAAACTATTTATATCAACTTTAAACTTAGTATGTTAATGAATAATGATTCGATTTTCTGCAAGCAATAAAAAGTTTTGCTAATTTTCATTACATAAAAAAAGCACATAGTTTACCGATGTAGTAAACTACAACAGTATAGTACAACTTTTGTATCCGATAAGTAAAAGTTATCTTGAACGTGTAAAAGAAAAACATATTTGTGAGACTAAAAGAAAGTATTAACACCGTTAGTTGGTTTGGTAAATCTGAATCATACATATAAGACTTCACGGATTTACTTATGTAAAACAAATTTAACGTAGTAGGATTATTTGTACCAGAAATATGTTTATAACTATTATAGATTAATCAGACTGAATCATAAAATGATTTAAAACCTTAAACTGCGATCAAAACTGAATAAATGTGTTGTGACACATATAATTATAAGATTAAAACTTTTGTTTTAGCTTATTTTTATGCTGTGTTATTCATTATTTACAAAAATGAAAAAGTAAAAAAAAAAATTGTGTTAATAGTTGTAGGAACGTAAGATTTTTGTACCACGTCACAACTAATAAAATTGAGTGAACAAAATATGCAAACTTTGGTTTTCAGTCCTTTAGCATCACATGCATCAACTTTTATAATATCGTCTACATGAATCTCAAGCTTTTTATTTGTGTTAGGAGATTACATATCAATAGGATATAATGTATAATTTATACTATATAAATGAATTAATGAAATAGGGTAAATTAAATTATATTGCAATTAAATATAAAAACTGGTATGTCATCCTATGCACAAAAAAATGTAACTATTTAGTCATCCTCTAAATTATACAGACTCGTTTCTTCATACAAAATAAGATACAGTATTTTATCAGATACGAATATCCACGCGCGCATGCACAAAGAGAGAGAGAGAGAGAAACGAGAAATTTTTATAATAGTCATTACATGTTAGAATTCAGTATTGTTTTGTTAATTTATCTTTGTGTATGTGTGTGTATTTTTACATTTTACCCGCGCGCGCACTCGCACACAATAGTATTCATGAAAAAGTAGTGTAAAACTGAATAATTGTAGATTCTTACGACTATTCTGCAAATACAACTTTAATTGTTTAAGCAAAAAAACTATTAAATTATCTACTCATTATAGTATTTTTCATCGTTGGAAGTTAACAAATCATTGTTTGGATAGGCTTTCCATATTGAATTATTATTAAATACATCATATTATGATTTTAAGTACACCCCGGTACTAACAAATTTTTTTCATTATAATTTAAATTATAAAAATTGATAACTTTTATGAGATTCTTAAATAAAGAGGAATAAAATTGTAAAACCTAATTTAAGATCGATTCTTACTAGTAACATTGTCCGAATAAATTGGAAAATGAAGAAACCCTAAATGAGTGGCTTATATACTGAAAACGTACTCCTAAAATTACTTACAACTATAAAGTTAATACTGTAAATGCTTTGTATGTACAACTGATTACATAAATTCCTAAATTTTTTAGACGTAAACATATATATATATATATA